AACCACACCCCGCCGCGAGTCACTTCAGCCGAACCCGACATAAGCCGCCATCGCCCAAAGCGAACCATCCGGAAAGGACACATGGTTCCTGGACAGCTGTTGTGGACAGCACATGTGTTCTTCAGGACGCTTCGTTCAACGAGAACGCCAACTTCAACGCGAAGTTGTCATTACAGTCGCCAACAATCAGAACCTGCGCACACGACGACAAGGAGTTGTTCAACTACAGTCACGAGAAACAAATGTCATCCTACAGATGTCCAAGGTTCTAATCGCAGAAGGCCTCGGCTACAACTTACTGAGCGTCAGTCAACTAATGGCGAAAGGGATTCACCTCGAAGCAGACAGCACCACCCAAGAATTCAAGCTGTATCACGGGAGAGGAGGACTTTACATCGGCAAGGCGGTCCTCAAGAACAACGTCTTCGTTCTTGACTTCGTTCCTGATCTTGGCACCGCCGACAGCGACGCCATCGTTAACTTCACCAACTGGACACACCCTCCAGACCTTGACCCAGACTTCAGTCCTGGCGGTTTCTGGTACTCACACACCATCCCTGAAGTAGAAAGAACAAGGGCGTTAGCAACAATTCAGACAACATCGGCAGCAGCAGAGACAACATCGGCAGCAGTAGAGACAACATCGGCAGCAACAGAGACAACATCGGCAGTAGCAGAACCATCAACGGCAGCAGCAGAAACGTCAACACCAATCGCTGGTCCTTCAACGGCACCGCTCCTCGTCGACGACACACCACCGCCACCCGCGCAACAACTACACCCAGCACCACGAGAAGTTCATCGTAGCGCCAACTTCACCGCCAACTTCTACTCCAACTCCGATCTGTACCGACGATCACCCGGACATCGCGCCGACGAAAGCACCTGGCACGCAAGGATGGGACACCCAAGCAACACAGTATTAAATAATACGATAAGAGTAGGAGTACTTGACAAGGACTCACTACTACTGACCGACGGAAGAGAACTTCAACGAGTACGTGGAACGTGCTTCACCTACCCTGAAGCTGACTTACCACATCGACCGTTCGCGTCTCACCATAACCCAAGCGCACCAGCTTACGCGCCACTCGAGAAGGTGTACAGCGACATCCTGTACAATCGCGAGCCGGGGCAGAACGCGTACAACTACACCATCACGTTCATCGACGCCGCGACACGTTACGTTTGGCACCTGAATCTTCCAAGAAAAGACATGGCGTTCAAAGCGTTCGTCGCGTGGCTTCCAGTAGCAGAGCGAGAATCGGGCGTCAAACTAAAAAGCTTCCAGTCAGACGGGGGAGGAGAATACACATCACAAAGGTTCAAGCAGTACCTGGCAGAGAGAGGAATCAAGCGGCTCATTTCCCTTCCCTACGCCCATCAACAGCAGGGTGTAGCAGAGAGGATGAACAGGACCCTCCAGAACACCATGCGGAAACTGTTACGTGGCATGCGGCTACCCACTCACCAGTGGCCAGAAGCAATGGACCACGCCGTGATGCTGCACAACTTGCTTTCTTCGTCGTCACTACCGAACAACACATCACCGCATCTGCTGTGGACAGGAAAACTGGGCAGCACAAAAATGTTACGAGTCTTCGGCTGCATGGTACAGTACCGACCTCCATCTGCACGAGCAGGACGATTCTCCCAACGGGCACAGTGGGGACTACACCTGGGCATCGAAAAACACTACAACGCATGGAAGATTTTCGACGTCGAGACAAAAGAAACAGTGGCAGCACGTGATGTCATTTTCTACGAGCGGCTCACCTTGCAAACGTACCTTGCCAACCTGGACGAAAACCAAGATCCCACAGGTGGTTTCCGTGGAGACCGAGCCTTCGCTTCGGCAGAAGACGAAGCTGACTGGGACGAGCAGAACGTGGAAGGAGCCTCGGAAGAAGCCGGACCCCTCCCGTACTGCTCCGTCGATGTCCCAATGGATGACGAAAATCCACGCGAAAGCAACAACGCCGAAGTTTTTTACCACTTCGCTGACAACGGTTACGTTACACCTGCACAAGTCAACACCGACGAAGCAGAACGCGTAGGACCTAATTTCGCACCCGATCCAGAAGCGGGAGACGAAGCAGTTTATCCAGAGGATACTTCTCTCCCTCGCTACACACAGAGTGGGCTCCAAATTCTTGGTCTCGTCACCGCAGTCCACGGCGCAGCCATTCCTAAAGAGCCTGCGACAGTTCAACAGGCTCTGGGGGGGGAGCATAAGGAAAAATGGCGCGAAGCCATGGACAAGGAACTGAAGGCACTGGAGGAACGCAACACGTGGAAAGTAGTTCCCATCGGCGTAGCACGGAACAAGACCATTCTCACCGGGAAATGGGTTTTCCGCGTGAAGACGAAGGCTGACGGCACAATTGACAAATTCAAGGCACGATGGGTCGTGCGTGGCTTCGACCAAGAACACGGACGAGACTTCACCGAAACCTTCGCTCCGGTCAGCCGACACACTTCGCTCCGAATCCTTCTCGCGATCGCCGCCATGAAGAAAAAGAAGCTACGGCAAATCGATGTCGCGAACGCCTTTCTCTACGCACCCGTTGACGCAGAAATTTTCGTGGAACTACCGCACGGTACCAACGGGGAGCCGAACCAGGTCTGTCAACTGCTGAAGTCACTCTACGGGATCAAGCAAACTCCGCGGCTATGGCAACAGTATCTGCACGCCCGCCTCATCCGCATCGGCTTCAAGCAATTACCTCACGATCAGGGGATGTACCGACTCACGAAAGGCGCAGACTACATCCTGCTAATCGTCTACGTAGACGATCTCCTTTACATCGGCTCAACTGACGGCATCACTACCTGGTTCGAAGGGGAACTGCAGCAAGATCTCACGCTCACGGTCTCATCTACCGTCACTCAGTACCTCGGCCTCAACATCCGGGAAGAGGAAGACGCGATCTACCTCAGCGCCGAGAAATACACCGACACCATCGCCAAACGCTTTGCACTCGCACCGACAGCCATCTCCACGCCATACCGCTACACGGCAGGGAACGGCAAAGGAAGCTCCGCTCTACTCAAGCCCGCCGGCATACGAGACTACCAGAAGAAGCTGGGATGCCTTCTCTTCGCAGCTGTCACCTGCCGCCCCGACCTCTCATACTCCGCAAGCCAGCTCGCCACCTACCTCAAGAAGCGTGAAGCAGAACACCTGGCGGAGCTCGACCGCGCTCTTCACTACTTCGTCAGCACCCCGACGATCGGCCTAACTTATCACAAGAACGCAACCACACCGACTAAGTTAATCGGCTACGTCGACGCCGATCACGCTGGCGACTCCGACAATAGGCACTCCCGCACCGGCTACGTCTACCGCCTCGAACCTATCGGACCTATCTCTTGGCAGTCGAGCAAGCAGGAATTAATCGCTCTCTCGTCAGCTGAAGCAGAATATATTGCACTCTGCTCAGCCACCAAGGAAGGACTTTACCTTCGCGAGCTGCTGGAAGAAGCGAAGTTAGCCGAGTTACCCAACTTCACCCTGTTCTGCGACAACCAGTCGGCAATTCGCATCGCCAACAAGAACGGCTTCGCGAACAGGACGAAACACATTGCCCTACGCTACTTCTTCGTGAAGGACGAAATCGAGAAGGGGAGACTCGAGCTGTCATACTGCCCCACATCCGAGATGGCAGCTGACTACTTGACCAAGAAACTCGGAAAGCAGAAATTCGAGTACTGCATGCTGCTGACTGGACAAAGCCACGTCATCAGCAACGACACTCCAGAAGCGAAGGGGAGTGTTGGAAACAACAAATCGTAAGCGCCTCTGTCGTGTCGAAACACCGCACCAGAAGCGAAGTAAATCATATCGAGGCACTCGCGAGTCAACCCTCGGAGGTTGAGAAGTTGCTGGAGGTTACGCGAAAGTCAAAGGTCAGCGACCTTTGACCTGACAAGTACAGCGCGACAGCAAGGACACACAACTGACTCACTACAGAACAGTTGCCCGAGTCGTCACTGTATCGAACCGCAACAGCAACAGTAAAGTAGTTACAACTGCATCTCTTCGTATTCCTTGTACTCATATATAATCCTGTATCTCCTTGTTTTAATCAATCTACTTTGCCCTCACATACTAGCGCAAGGTGGTTCACAAATCCTTATTAACGCTTCCGCTATTACATCAACTCTACCCAGAGTTCACCCCTGCAAAGATCCTAAGGGTTTTTTCAGCCCAACAGACAAAAGCGACAACAGCAAGAAGTTGGAGCGAAGGTCAAATGTCAGCGACCTTTGACTTGACGAAGAAGCACGACAGCAAGGACAAATAACTGACTAGCTATTGAGCAGTAACCCGAGTCGTCACTGTATCGAACCGCATTAGAAGTTACAATTGCAGTTATAAAAGCCATGTATCTCTATGCTATAATCAACTTATCTTGTTCTCAAATACCAGTGCAAGGTGGTTCAACTAGTTTCATTAATACGCTTCCGCCCAACATCATCATCCCTTTCTGCTAATATTTGAGCAGCTCCTACCAGGCATGAGAATCAGCGGACACGAACAACACATGTGTGGGGATGCAAAGCAAAGCGGTACATTCTGGTGCCTCTAGCTTCGGAACGGTACTAGAGAAATTGCACGCTGGTTCTGCAACATGGTTCCATGAAAATGTTTCCCTTTGTTCCACACTAGTTCTGCAACACGCTAGTATCTAATGTTACATATTTCCTTTGTTTCATGACCGTTGCGGCTGCTTCCGTTTCGTGGGTGAATCTTTACGTCGCATCGAACAGATTAGTTGGAAAGGAATCGGCAAGTAATGTTATTGTAAGAAGAGGATCAGTCACAGCGAGAACAAGGCTCGGCTTGAGACGCAGACCAGCTTCGTTTGTCTTGTCCTCCGCATGCGGACGAACCAAGCATAACGAAGTTTCGCAATTTTCGCCCTTAGTTGTTACATTGCGTTCAAAACCGCCTAATATTGTACTGCAGCGTCGCGAGGGTTGGCGATTGGCCGACAATGGGGGGCCCGACGGAAGATACAGCGCAGGAAGAAACCAGAGGGTCGGGGGAAACACAGACGGAACTTTCTCTCCCGGATGGACTCGTGCTGCGTGACTTAAACGAGGGCGACTATAGCAAAGGTGGGTGGGATGGGAATGCGTGGACGTGTGTGAATAGGGGCAGCCGGTTGGGTTGGAGAAAGGATTTTTGGGGTTGGGGTTGGGAGGGGGTTGGGAGGGGGGTGGGAGGGGGGTGGGATGAGGGTGGGACGAGGGTGGGAGGGGTTGGTTGGTTGAAAGGGGGGGAAGAGGCGCATATGTGCATCTGTACGTGTGGATGGGTGTGTGCTTCTGTGCCTATGTGCATGCTTGTCTGGAGTCAGGATGTATGACGGTAGAACCTGGATGTATGCAGTAAAAAATCTCCTACTCCCATGTTGAACCGTCTATAACCGTCTGTAACCATCTGTAACCAACTGTAACCGTCTGTAACCGTCTGTAACCGTCTGTAACCGTCTGTAACCATCTGTAACCGTCTGTAGTCGTCGTTCCATCGCTGTATTCCATCTCGAGACATCTTGGCGCATGCACATCCATGATCATGAACTATCCTTGGCATGGCTTGTTCATTGCACGCACCTGTATGAAATGTGCATGACATGTGCATGACATGTGCATGGCGTGTGCATGGCATGTGCATGGCGTGTGCATGGCGTGTGCATGGCATGTGCATGGCATGTGCATGGCGTGTGCATGGCGTGTGCATGGCGTGTGCATGGCGTGTGCATGGCGTGTGCATGGCGTGTGCACGGCGTGTGCACGGCGTGTGCATGGCGTGTGCATGGCGTGTGCATGGCGTGTGCATGGCGTGTGCATGGCGTGTGCATGGCGTGTGCATGGCGTGTGCATGGCGTGTGCATTGCATGTGCATGGCATGTGCATGACAGGATACATGGAGCTCCTCTCACAACTAACAACTACTGGTACAGTAACGGAGGAGCAATTCAAAGGTACGCACATCATGCCAAATATGCCAAAAACACCGATTATGCCAACCCTTCAAATAAGCGCTACAAGTGAATACGCCGGTTATGCTAAATAGTCCAATTACATTAAACATGCTGATACGGCTGTATTATCGACAACTCCGTTTGCTCCGCAGACCAGCATCCTCTCCTGTGTAAGATGAGACGAGACGACCTTTTAGTCGGGAAAAAAGAAAATTGGTCAACACGAAGTTTTATCGAGACGCTTGATAGCGATGCTTCCACATTATGCTGAGCTGGCTGTTGTATCCACGCCCACTTCTTGATGATTCTCGAAAGTGACTCACGAGATTTTGTCAACGTGTCAATTTTGAGGCGCCTCAATAACACTGATCATGCTGAACTGATTATGCTGAACTGATTATGCTGAGCTGGCTGTATTGCTGGCTGTATTGCTGGCTGTATTGCTGGCTGTTGTATTGACGCCCCACTGCCCTGCAGACCGGTTCGCCCTGCTGTCTCAGCGCTCCTTGGACTATCGGATCGTGGTGGTTGAAGGTGAGGCGTTCTAACTCGTAGTTAATGCGGCTTTTGCGTGACTGAGAGACGATTTTCAAGGCACCTCGAAAACGCACTTGTGCATTGTGTGTGGTGGCTGCAGGTGAGTGAGGTGATTCAGACAATGCCGCATACACATCCCTGTTACATGCCGCATGCATGCATTTGCATTGCTCTATGCCGTTTCTGGATTGTAAAGGTTGGGGTTTTGACTGGTGATCCCTGACTGTGCCCTCTTTCCTTTCTCATAATTCTCCTTCCCTCTCTCCACTCTCTCCTCTCTCCTCTTTCCTCTCTTTCCTTTCTCATAGTTCTCTTTTCCTCTCTCCACTCTCTCCTCTCTCCTCTTTCCTCTCTTTCCTTTCTCATAGTTCTCTTTTTATCTCTCCACTCTCTCCTCTCTCCTCTTTCCTCTCTTTCCTTTCTCATAGTTCTCTTTTCCTCTCTCCACTCTCCTCTCTCCTCTTTCCTCTTTTTCCTCTCTCATAGTTCTGTTTTCCTCTCTCCACTCTCTCCTCCCTCCTCTTTCTTCTCTCCTCTTTCCTCTCTCTCCCCTTTCTTCTCTCCTCTTTCCTCACTTCTCTATCCTCTCTCCTCTACCTCGTACCATAAGCACCTCACAACAACTTTACTCCCTTCTCGTCTTCCTCTCCTCCCCCTTCCGTTCGCAGACACAGTGAGCAACAGAGTGGTGGGCACAGGAACTCTGCTAATAGAGTTCAAGTTCCTTCGTTCATGCGGCAAGGTAACAGCACGCCTTTCCTTTCATCCAATGCAATTTTTAGACGCTTAAAAAAGGGAGATTCTTGGGGCATTTGTTCCAGGCGCAGATGATATTGAGTTGACTTTTGAGTCGACTCAAAAGTCACCTTGCTCAGGGCACAGGAGGCATTGACTTGCTCGTCCCGCTTTCTTCCTTTGCACCAGTTTCCTTAACTCACCACACTAGTTTATGCGGCAGGGGTACCAGCCCCTCTCTTCTCGAGCTGTCCTTGTCATTTGAATAAGAAGGGAGATTGGAGATTCTTGGGGCATTTGTTCCGCGCGCAGATGTTACCAGTTTCCTTTTGAGTCGACTCAAAAGTCATGTGGCAGGGGTACCAGTTTCCTTTTGAGTCGACTCAAAAGTCATGTGGCAGGGGTACCAGTTTCCTTTTGAGTCGACTCAAAAGTCATGTGGCAGGGGTACCAGTTTCCTTTTGAGTCGACTCAAAAGTCATGTGGCAGGGGTACCAGTTTCCTTTTGAGTCGACTCAAAAGTCATGTGGCAGGGGTACCAGTTTCCTTTTGAGTCGACTCAAAAGTCATGTGGCAGGGGTACCAGTTTCCTTTTGAGTCGACTCAAAAGTCATGTGGCAGGGGTACCAGTTTCCTTTTGAGTCGACTCAAAAGTCATGTGGCAGGGGTACCAGTTTCCTTTTGAGACGACTCGAAAGTCATGTGGCAGGGGTACCAGTTTCCTTTCGAGTCGACTCGAAAGTCATGTGGCAGGGGTACCAGTTTCCTTTCGAGTCGACTCGAAAGTCATGTGGCAGGGGTACCAGTTTCCTTTCGAGTCGACTCGAAAGTCATGTGGCAGGGGTACCAGTTTCCTTTCGAGTCGACTCGAAAGTCATGTGGCAGGGGTACCATTTTCCTTTGTACCAGCCCCTCTCTTGTCGAGCGGTCCTTGTCACTGAGTAGGAAACTCTGCCCCTCTCTTCTTCTCTCTGAATCATATCGTACCAGTTCGGTAACAGCCGTTTTACCCACATCGATCGCCCACTGTTGCCCGTGGTGCATAGCGGTGCATAGTAGTGTGCTGTGCAGTGGTGCACAATGGTGCGCAGTGGTTCACAGTGGTGCATGGTGGTGCCGAGTGCCTCAGTGCTGCTGCCAGATTCTGTACTTCATTTCTCCCTCCCCAATCCCTCCCCATCTCTGCACCTCCCCTCTTCCCACAGGCAGGGCACATGGAGCACATAGCGGTGCACTGCAGTATGCAGCGGTGCTGGCTGGCTACATGCATGTTTCTCCCCCACCATCCTTCTCCTCCCCCCCCCCCCCCCCCCCCCGTCTCTCTCCTTTTCCCCCCCATCTCTCTCCTTCCCCCCCCCATCCCTCTCCTTTTCCCCCCCATCTCTCTCCTTCCCCCCCCCATCCCTCTCCTTTCCCCCCCCATCTCTCTCCTTCCCCGCCCATCCCTCTCCTTCCCCGCCCATCCCTCTCCTTCTGCCCCCCCATCCCTCTCCTTCTGCCCCCACGCCTCCTCTCCCCATCCCCTCCACACAGGCAGGGCACATAGAGCACACAGTGGTGCACAGCAGCATGCAGCAGTGCACCACACCACACCACACCACACCACACCACACCTGCTACATGCATGTCTTCCCTCTCCTCCCGCCCCCACACCACACCTCCCCACCCACCCGCAGGTGGGACGCATAGAGACCGTTGTGGTGCAAACAAAGCACCCACCCGCTGGCCGTTGTGGTGCAAACAAAGCACCCACCCGCTGGCCGTTGTGGTGCAAACAAAGCACCCACCCGCTGGACGCTCGTTGTGGTGCAAACAAAGCACCCACCTGCTGGCCGTTGTGGTGCAAACAAAGCACCCACCCGCTGGCCGTTGTGGTGCAAACAAAGCACCCACCCGCTGGACGCTCGTTGTGGTGCAAACAAAGCACCCACCTGCTGGCCGTTGTGGTGCAAACAAAGCACCCACCCGCTGGCCGTTGTGGTGCAAACAAAGCACCCACCCGCTGGACGCTCGTTGTGGTGCAAACAAAGCACCCACCCGCTGGCCGTTGTGGTGCAAACAAAGCTCCCACCCGCTGGCCGTTGTGGTGCAAACAAAGCACCCACCCGCTGGACGCTCGCTGTCCAGAGCGTATATCCCCACTTAATCCCCACCCCACCCACCCGCAGGTGCGGCACACAGAGGACAAAGTCGAGGTAACTTTTGAGTCGACTCAGAATTCACATAGAGCACATAGTCGTGCACAGCAGTATTCAGCAGTGCTGGCTAAATCCATATCTCCCCCACAACCCCTCTCCTTCCCCCTCCTATCCTCCCACCTTCCTCCCCCCCTCAGGTGGGGCACATAGAGGATATAGTGGTTCACAGCAGCATGCGGGGCAAGCACCCTTCTTGTCCCCCCTCATTTTCTTTCTCGCTCTTCCCCCTAACATCCCTCTCCCTCTCCTTCCCCACCCACAGGTGGGGCACATAGAGGACATAGTCGTGCACAGAGCAGCATGCGGCGCTGCTGTGTGATGCCATTCCCTCCTCTCCCCTCCCCACATGTCCCCCCCACATGTCCCCCCCTCAGGTGGGGCACATAGAGGACATAGTGGTGCACAGCAGCATGCGGGGCAAGCACCTGGGGCACAGGTGGGAGGAAGGGGGAATGTGGGGATGGGGGGGTGTGAGAGGGGGAATCACCCGTAAACCCAGGGGTTTGGTTTCTCCGCATAGTCCCGCTTTCACACAGAGCTGACTTTTGAGTCGACTCAAAAGTCAGTTTGGTTTCTCCGCATAGTCCCGCTTTCACACATGCCCTGTTCAGACTTCCTTCGTCTCTGCACCACACCATCCATTTCACACGAGGAGTTCAAATTTCCCTCATCTCCCACCCTCCCTCCCCTTACACCTTGTATGGAGCCTCCTTCCTTCCTTGCCCTTCCATCTTTTCCGCCCGCCAGAATCATCCAAACGCTCACCGATATCGCCAAGAAACAAGGTTGCTACAAGGTAACATTGTGAGCTCCTGCTATGGTAGATGTTAGCATCAACCACTCCTCCTAGTGGTTGTGTTGAGTCGACTCAACACATTTTGAGCTCCTGCTATGGTAGATGTTAGCATCAACCACTCCTCCTAGTGGTTGTTGTTCCCTAATCCATTTCCCTTCAGCGCTTCCGCCACAATGTGTAAATCCGTACAACTCCCTTCCCCCGTCCCTCTTTTTGACTTTTCAGGTCATTTTAGATTGTGATGAGAAAAATGTAGACTTCTACAAGAAATGTGGCTACAGTGTTAAGAATGTAGGAATGGCGCTGTACTTTTGAATAAGAGCACTTGTTCCCATCGATTTTCTGGGCCTTTATCGTGCGATTTCAGAAACTTGTTTGCAGCCCACATCTAGAAGTACATTTGGCCCATGTTCCCCCATAATGCATGTACGTACGGGTGGTTGTTTTATTCAGCTACAGTTACAGTAACAGCAACAGGGACATCAAGAACCAGTATGTCCGTCCATCCTAAAATAACAAATAGAAGTTAACTACCGCGACCAAGTCTAGCTGACGCTTGTATGTAGGAGCCTAAAGGCTTCCCCCGGTGTGCTGCTACAGCCGTTCGTCTATTTTATTATTTATAAACAAAAATGATGCATGCCGCATGAGAGTTACACCACCAGCCCTCAACAAGAACCAATTGAGGGCTTATTGGGGGAGAGTGGCAAAAAGTCAGGTTGTGCACTGAAGAAGTCAGGGTATTGTTGTTAGGACTTAGCTAAAAGTTAGCCGCCACGGTCGTTGGAGGATTTGAGCAAGGTCTTGAGGGGGTTAGTTCTCCTCTTTGCTGCAGAACAGTCAGCCTCCATGTTCGGAGGTTCTACATCGTCGGAGGTGTTACATAGTCGGAGGTGTTACATGGTCGGAGGTGTTACATGGTCGGAGGTGTTACATCGTCGGAGGTGTTACATGGTCGCAGATGCTGGTCCAATCGAGGCGTTACGGAGCTGGAGATGTAACGAGGAAGTTCTTGTATTGCCTGTTGGATTGTTGAAATATAATGTATGTGGTTGGGAGGTGGTTAGATATGGGGAGCGGTGCAAGGTCAGTGCGTGGGTGTACACAGGTGTCATCGTGTGAGCATGTGAGAGGGAGAGGGAGAGGGAGAAAATGTACAGAGATATATAACCTTGTCATATGCACTACTTACGAGTTATAAGGCACATCTCTGCCGTTGAAAGTGCCAGCCCACGAACCACCGAGCACGCTAGAGGCGTCCCACACAGAGGAGTAGAGGAAGGGGTAGGGCTTGGTGGGGTACGGCCCTCCGTTTAACTTACGAGATGGAGGGATGACATGTAGACGAATAAGGAACATTATCAATACACTACTTACGAGTTATAAGGCACATCTCTGCCGTTGAAAGTGCCAGCCCACATCCCACCGAGAACGCTAGAAGCGTCCCACACGGAGGAGTAGAGGAAGGCAGGCTTGGTGGGGTAGGGCCCTCCGTTTAGCTTGTTCCTTTGAACCACCCTCTTGACTTGCCCGTCAATTTGCCAACTGTACGGGAGAGGGGAGAGGAGAGAGGAAGTTGGGGAGGAAGGGGAAATCAGATTGTTGAGAACAAAGAATGTGCAGATAGGAAGGACGTGACTACTATAGCATCAAGAAGACGTAGCTGAAACTGTGGAACCCAGAAGAATAAAAGCAACACCGAAATGAAACTGATGGTCACAGCTTTGTTTTGAAATAAAGCATGTATTCGTGAAATTCATACTCACACAGTCATTCCATACTCACACGTTCATTCCATACTCACACGTTCATTTCCATACTCACACGTTCATTTCCATACTCACACATGTATTCCATACACACACATTCATTCCATACTCACAAATTCGTTTCATACTCGAACAATCATTTCATACTCGCACATTCATTTCATACTCACACTATTTGCCGAGCGTTCCAGTAAATGACGTATTCGTGGAATCCCGAGGAGCAGTCAAACCCGAGGGGAATGAGCGCCTCGTGACCCCCCACGCCATTCACGTAATAGTTCGTCTGCACGCTCAATTTATCGCGGCCCAGAAATTCAAAGTCTATCTCGTCTTGGCCTTTGCTGCCTTCTAACGAGGACAACTGGAAAGGGTGAGGCAAAAGGAGGGGGGTGGAAGGAGAAGGAAGGGTTAGCAGGTTGGGAGTGCGCTGCGAATTCAGATTCGCTATTATATCTTGTTTTGCACACCGAAGGTGGAGAAATCATGCAATTTCGCACACTGGTAAAAAGAGCCTTTTCAATCACGGCAAAGCATGGTGGATAATGAGAGAAGGTCAATGGTCAGAAACGTGTGGGTGGGTGGTTTGCGGGAAGAAATGCTGGCGGGAGGGATGAGTGGACGGAAGTAGGGTGGTGCGAAGGAGAGGGCGCGTTTGTCGTTAATGTCGTTCATGTCTTTAATGTTGCTCACACATCGTTCATATCCCTCATGTCGTTCACGTCGCTCATGTCACCCATATCACTCGTGTGGTTCATATCGTTCACGTCGCTCATGTCGCTCGTGTCGCTCAAATAGTCTTACGTAAAAGGACTGCACGAGGCCGTTCATGTCGCCAGCAGGGCATTTTATCTGCGCGCTGAAGATGCCAGACGGGTATTGAACTGTCGACCTCACGCGACTGCCGCCTGTAACGTCAACGGGAAGACAGAACACAACGATCCACACAGTAGAAAACAAGAAAAAGGGAGGTTCAAGCCAAGAAAAAGAGAGCCTAACGAGGTTTGGCGAAATCCGCCAGATTCGTGATTTGGTTCGGTTGGGAAACAACCCTCGGCGACTTCGCGATAATTTCGTGAGGTTGGTTTGGGGAGGGGGTTGGCGAAATTAATTAGCCAATCATGAGCAGGGAAATTACAGGTATGTAGAAGCGGAAGGCTACCTGCAGAGCCTCTCCCGCCAGGTATGTAGACGACAGCTTTAACATGATTGAGCTAGGAAATAAAAAGCCTAAAATGCACGGTTACTCACGGCAGCCGGTGGTGGTATCCACTACAATTGTCGCAGCGTTACTCGCCACTTTCGCAAACGTTTCGCAGTAATCAATCGCGAGCGGCTGAACCGGCGACCCCAGGATTCCCGTCGACTTCCCTGGCGGCCCGCTTTCATTTCCAGGCGACTCGCTCGTCGGCTTGCGCCCCTGACCGCCTCCGCCTCCGCGACCGCCATTCCCGCCGTCGGCCCGGTTGCGCATTTGCAGGACGATTTCTGTCGCCCATTGCATGGCGTTTCGGGTCAGCTGCCTCGCGCTGCTGCTTGTCGCGTCGATGCTGGGCGTCGTCAGGCACGCGCCTAGCCCCTCGGTCGTGTATTTGAGCTTCCTGGCCGCCCGATTGAGCTCGCCTTCCGCGATCAACGGCCGAGCTTTGTGCACCTGGAAAATGGATTTTGCTAGAATTTGGCTGCAGTTTGTCTTCTTCCTGGTCCGTTGTAAGGCTGTGGTGAGGGACGATTCGATTGTCTGGAGCTGCGTCATCCACCTCTCCTTGTACGACACGTGGCGGTTCGCGATTACACCGCCACCAGAGTCGCGGAGACTCCCGAGCCGCGCGGTGTTGATGGCGGCGCGGGTGGTCACTTCAATCTGTAACCGATCCTCCGGGGATATATCGCGATCGAGTTGCTCCGGCGTTATAACGGGGATGTCATCGTACGGCCTGTCTTGCACATGGGCACGCGACATTACGACTAATAACGAGGCGGTTATTATCGAGAGCAACATTGCCAAGGAGCCGCGTCTCATCAAGGAAAATCTTTGAGCCATCAGCATCAGAATGTGCGATTGAAACGAGTAACTGCAGCGGTGGCTGCCAAATGGAGAGGAGGGGTACCGCTACCAAGAATGGTGACGATGGCGATTGAACGTGATACAGTGCGTACCTAGGATTCTACGGGTGTTAAGGGTCGCGAGCGCACTAAGGGTGCTAAGGGCTCTCAGTGTAGTTGATGTCTCATGAACTAAGGTTACTGCGAGAAGTTAACGTCCGGGACAGTCAGGGTAGTTAACGTCACAACGGTTCTAAGGGTACTCCTCAGTGCTAAAGCGCGCGATGCAGTCAGGCAGGCCAAGCCCGGCAAGGTAAACAGTTCTCTTCGGACCTCGTCGAGAACACGGTCGAGGAACTCGTCGCGACACGGTCATGAACTCTGATCAAGCAATTAACGCTAGTCGGGAGTGGTCTTGAGGAATGGGGACCAGGACTTGAGAGATGGGGATGATGGGACGAAGCGATCCAGATAGGTGGAACGTGGGAGTACAGGGCTCTGGGCACAGGGAATTGGACGCACGGGGGAAACGCGGAAAGAAGGGCGTCGTGATGCCAGGGCGGGTGAATGTCTTTATGTCTTGAAGGATGAGGTCTGCAAGAAATGAGTTACTAGGGTCACAGATATGGCAGGTGGTGGCGGTACTATCTACTATTTCCGCCTCGTTGTCCCTTTCTCTTTCTCGTTTTTTTGCACCTTGACGTCTTCCCCCTTTTTTAAAACTGCGGCGTCGGTAGGCACCTTCTAACACCGTGGCGCTGTTTCGAAAACGACGGCAGCGACTTGCGCGGGCGAGATTGGCCGCATGATCAACAGCCATACCCTCCCGTCATCTAAAGACCGCCCACAGCCCACGAGACACGACTCGCCGGTTTGCGGCTTCAGACGGTCAGCAGCGACGGAAGCGAGACTGCTGAATACTCCTACCTACCCTGCACGTAACTCGCTGGATGATGATGTGATGTGAGTGTGACGCCGCTATCGATCCTACAGGGCTTATTTGTAGTCCCTCGCGGCGCACTGTTGCGGCAGATGGGCCTCAAATGTGGGTCCAAGTGACCGACAATGAGCCGCGCCACTTGAAGTGCCTCGCCGGGGTATAGGGTAGGGTAGGGTAGGGTAGGGTGTGAGATGTGATGGGCGGAAGGAAACGAGAATCGAATGCGCGCCCGACGAGCGCTGGGGAAGGTTGCACACTACGCAGTAATGATTGAGGTAGGAAGGAACGATGATTGAGGTAGGGGAGAACGAGCACGTAGCGATGTGCTGGTTAAACTTTGGGAAGTTCGAGTGGCTCTATGAATTGTTGGGCTGAGGGGTGAGGGCTAGGTAAGTGAACTGTTTTACGAGACCGAAGCGCGGGCGGAAAGAGGATGGATCTATGGATAACATGTCGCGCGCGAGGTATGGTTGGAGAGTGGAGCAGGGAAACGACGGCGGGAATCGGGAATGCCCGCACGAGGAAACGATCTGGGTGCACTGACGCAATAGAAGGCGTGTTTC